TCTTTCTTTCTTTCATTAATTCTTTCCTTCCTTCCTTCCTTTCTCACTCTCTTCCTCTCCTCCTGAGCCCGCATGATGGCTGGAAAAAATTCCAGCAGGACTTATATGTGTCTGATCCAAATCAATCCCCCACCCCCCCTTCCTCCCCATTGCCAGTGTTAAATTATCTTATGGATGGAAGGTGTGTGGTTCTTTCTCAGCCTTTGCAGACCAAAGTAAGTTATTGTTATTTATTATTGCACAACAACGGCGGCATTGAGAATTTGACCCGAATAATAAAAGAACAAATACAGGATGAAAAAATCGCTCCGATCCTTTGTGTTCTACTACTCGGCCTTCGGAAAAAATTAAGTATGCTGCAATTCCTCGGAAGAACTCGACCGCAACTTTAGTCCAAGTCTCTTTGAACAGCGGGTGCCAAATTGTAAAGTTTAATTTGATAGTCATTCCGTTTGGTAGTAAAAGTTTAATCTGGCTTCTGGTGCTTTTTGCACAAATGGGCATGGGATATTTTTTAGTAGCATCATAGAGTGTATAATTACTTTTTATGGCCACTGTCTATTATTATTATTATTTAAGATTTAATCTTCTATTCGATTCACAGTCTGGGACTGGTAAAAATGTAACAGTTCAAGTCGTTAATGAAGGACCTGTTTTAAGGTAATGTCTGAGGATATATAGGCAGTTCTGAGTAAGGTGGGGGGGGGTTGGTTTTTTTTTTGCAAAGTCAGAATATTCAGGCCTAATAAATTCAAAATTTCCATGTATCTAAGCAACCTTTCGGGTATTGCTCCAAGGGCTCTTATTGCTGTTGGTACAACCAGTAGTTTCTTCCTTCACAATCACTCCACTTCAGTTTGCAGTATTTCCTCATCCTCATTTGGTCTTTCCACACTTGGGATTCTTAGTGGTCTCCCATCCAAAATTATATTCAGATCTGAACCCACCTGGCATCTCGACATCAGCCAGGGGCTTCTGGGTAACTAAGGAGTCAAGTATAATGTCCACACGCAGGAAGCATTCATTCATTGGAGTTCATTCATTATATTTCATTCCGAGGACATTTGTTTTCAGGAATTCAAAGCCGGTTTAGAGTTTTCCCGTGGCTTCACTTCATTTCTGTCTCACTCCCTCCAAAACCAAAATAGGTAACAATTCTATAGGAAGGATGGTTCCATCAAATTGTTGGCCAATGGTTCCCTGTTGGGCAAGGGAGAATTTACAAGACTTCATCAGCTTTTCTTCGCGGATGCGAGAATAGGCCAAATTCTGGCAACAAGATTTCAAAGGGTTGGGATTTGATCTCGCTGTGGGAAGACTGGCATTCTCTATGCCCTGGACGAAGAGAGTGAGAAAAATAGCTCGTAATTCTTTTATGTTCCCAGTATTAGCACTCTTTTTCAGGTTTGATGTTTGTCTGAAAACAGGCAGGTTTCCTGCAGAAACAACACAGTCGTGTGTAGCGTGACTGCGATAATGACTCTCTGCCGTGGTCAACCCCAAGTTGTGAGCCTGATTTGTGTACCTGCTTATTACCAATTGTTCATGCGTTTGCAGATCAGATTAGGAGGCCAAACTGTTTGTTGCAATTTATTTATTTATTTATTTGCAAATCAAATGCCCAGACCCTTAAATCGTGGTTTCATTGAAGTGGGGGAATGCGTTAGTCACTCATGCTTATATAAACTTCTGCTTTGGGACTTTTGTCATCTTCTCCAAAGTCCGTCCGTCCTTCCTTCCTTCCTTCCTTCCTTCCTCGCTCCCTGCAGTCTCTTTCCTTCCCTTTTCGTTCTTTCTTTCTTTCCTTCCTTCTTTCTTTTTCTTTTTTCTTTCTTTCCTTCCTTCCTTCCTCCCTCCCTCCCTGCAGTCTCTTTCCTTCCCCTTTCTTTCTTTCTTTCTTTCTTTCCTTTCTTTCTTTCTCTTTCTTTCCTTCCTTCCTTCCTTCCTTCCTTTCCTTCCTTCCTTCTTTCTTTCTCTTTCTTTCCTTCCTCCCTCCCTTCCTTCCTTCCTTCCTTCCTTCCTTCCTTCCTTCCTTCCTCTTTCTTTCTTTCTTTCTTTCTTTCTTTCTTTCTTTCTTTCTTTCTTTCTTTCTTTCTTTCTTTCTTTCTTTCTTTCTTTCTTTCCTTCCTTCCTTCCTTCCTTCCTTCCTTTTTCTTTCTTTCCTTCCTTCCTTCTTTCTTTTCTTTTCCTTTCTTTCTCTTTTTCCTTCCTTCCGCCATCCATCTGACTGCCAGGTGCCCTCGTTTGACCCTTGCAACTTCTCAGATGGCTAAAACAAGGCTCCCCACAAGAACCTGCTCCCTGCAGGTCAGTCCCAACTTTCCCATCTCCCTTACGGATCTGGGATTTCCTGGTGGCGCCCTGTCCTAAGAAGAACCAAGCCAGTATAGACTTTGCCTACTTGAGTGGCCCCTTCAGGGCTCCAGAGGGCTCGTTTCTTGGCAGCAGCTTGGAAGTGGCCAGCCAGGACTCTCCTGGGCCACTTGCCTTACCCACCACAAGGTTTAAGGTTGGGGGGGGGGGGCAGAAACAACCCCCCCCCCGCGTTTAAATGCAGAGTTTTTGAGTCCCTGGTTGGAGGTGTCTTGTTTGGGTTTTTTTGGGGGGGGGGGGGGGGGGCAAGCAAAAGGCCCTGAAAAGGTAAGACCCTCTTGTCCTGTCTTCCCCCTGGGCGAAATTCACGTGCATTCCGACAACCACGGAAGGCA